TTAAAAAGTCGAGACAAAAAGTATTCAGTTTGATGGCTTTTACAAATGAGAAGTCAGGAGCTAAAACAGCTTCTTTACTCAACGTGCTAAAGCATTCATGTCCTATTGGGCACGAGGCACAGTTTGCTGACACAAAAATTAACTTTGTATGAAGGTTTGGTGGTGCTGTTCTTACTCTATGAAATTTGACCATTTTTTGCTGTATTTTTGGGTGCTGACTTGAATGCCCACCAGTGGGGACCCCATCCACTTAGTATAGCCTACTTGTGATGCTATACAAAATGTTTGCTAATGTAGGCTATAAGCTCGCTAGCTTGCGAGCCCTAAACATCCTTGGTGATGCTGTCTAATTTATTGACTTCCAGTGGCTCATTTCCACTACAGGAAAGATCGACTGAAAACAAATATGTAGCTAGAGATAGCAGCCTGTTAGCTAAGCAAGACAAAAGAAAACAGGACGTTACAGCCTGGCTCTGTCATTTGGCAAAACTGAACTAGCTTACCATCACCTCTTCAGCTCTGCAATGACTTGTTAAATTAGAATAAGAGGTATGTTAAAAAATATTTTAACAGTAATAAGGTTTGCATCTTCGTCACACACTACTACTCTCAGTTTGAACTGACATCGGCTGCCATCATTCATAGGCCTATAGTTACATCTGTTTATCCCTCTACCCAGAAATAAAACGTTACACGCTTTGGGTCTCCCTTTACAGAGCGATTACAACCTGTAGGAAGGGATTGGAGTAATTGGATGAGGCCTTGAAGCCCTGACTAAACTGGGAATAATTTGAAGATTATCTGGTCTGTTGAGAGAAACAGTCAAAGCAGTTCTAAAAATAGACCACTGTGTAACAGAAAGACATTAAGCTCAGGATGTTGACAATACCAGGAAAGAAAGAGACACTCAAGATTCTCTGTTTAACTCTGACGGCATGAAGGGTCTCCCATAAATATGACCTGTCTTACGAAGAATCTGCAGCCAAAAATATCTGCTGAATTTAGCAAATCTGCAAGCAATATAAATCCAAAAATATGTAGATGCTGCCTAAAAGCAGCTACAGGTTGAAGTGCAGCATCAGCTCTATCATCAGCTCTATCCCCCCACAAGTTTAAACCAGGCACACGTCTGTGTGGACAGATGGACACACGCCTGTCACTTCAGCTCTGCTCTGCCCTGTTTGACAGCCTGCCTCCTGGGTACACTGACCTCGCTGGCTCTGGGTTCAGTCAGACAGCTTTAGAGGGGAAGAGAAGTAGAGGATAACTCTCAGGCCAAAACTGGACTTGCTGACAGCACAGGGACTTACAGTATGTGTGCATAAACAGAACCCCAAAATATGGGCTAATCATTTATTAAACTCAGGAATCTACCAGCACTTGAAAGCAGTCATAAAATACAAGAAGCCTACACTTAAATTTCATCCTTTAATGTATACTCCAACAACAATAAGTGAGGCATCATGACAAGTAAGCAGATTGTGTCTTTGAGGGTCTGTGGAAGAGGCCTCCTCTCCATCAGATCGGCCAATCAAAGGGTCACTTAGTTTTATGTCACTATCTTTAAAACTCCAAAGCCTCAAAACACAGGCTTTGCTCTAAATCTTCCAACCCTGGCTGTACTTTACCTGATGACATCATTAGAGTTATTTTGAGTTAGTTTGAATAATCATTAAGTCGTCTTTACTAAGAGATTAAAATTGTTTACCAGTTTAGCATTGCATGTCTGTGACAGTCTCGGACTCACTGTGGTGATTTGAGTACGAAACAACAACATGAAAATGGATGCAATGGAACCAGAGGTGTTGCCTTTATTCTCTGACTCGTTAACTTGACAAGTTGTCTAACTTGTGTCAGTCACTTACATGTCATGTGTCACTGCAGCATTTCTGTCCTTGTGCAGACATCTGAGGTTGTGAGTCTGTAATGCTCCTGGCTTCTCGCAATGTTACACAATCAGACACAAGAACGGAGCAGCGCTGACAAAGCAGGACGTCAGTAACAATCAAGAGCTGGCTGTTGGACATGGGAGTGTGGATAAAATAAGCTCCTTGTTGAATGTGACCAGACAAGGACATCATGTTGAACAAAACACTGGATTTGTACCAGATGACTGATTTTCCTGCCTTTTCTTTCTCAAGTAGAATACATTCAAAAACCAAAAAAGCATTATTACACTCAACCTGTTTCATGGAAAATTATGTTTTTCATTTTTACAGGCTACACGTTTAAACAAATTGTTTCTACTGGAGTTTTCGCTACTCAGTTAAACAGTGATTGATCACATTATTGATTGTTTCTACTTAAAGGCTGAGGGTTGTGTGGAAGAGCTAAAGGTTAGCTACAGATGTATATCCTCACATTGATTTTGCTTCCCTATCCAGTTCTTTTTTCCACTGAATCACCTTGATCGATGCGAAATCCCCAGCCAGAGACGACCCCCCTGACCTCTGATTAGCAGAGCAGCTCACACGGGAAAGTCCTCTGTCACAAGAAAAGC